AAAAACAAAGGAGGAGGAATGATTTGGATTTTGTTTATTCATTTTCACATTTACAACTTATAATAGCACGAATAATAGTTAGACATGGTTTAAAGGGCAATAAAACAAAATGTAAGTATAAATATATGTATATTGTTACAAGTTTAAAGCTACTTAGGATAAACAAATATAGTTTCATGTTACAGTTTTAAGTCATTATAGAAAGGAAATAAAAAGGGTAATTTACATTTATTTCAATTTTTTGTTCTATTTATGAGGTTGGTCAAACTGACCAATCTTGTATAGTTAGGGTAGAGAAAATACCGAATAAAATATAAAGTTTTATTGAAGAAAAAAAAACGTTTGAAATATATTTAAAAGATTTAGGGATTACACAAATGAAATTTAAGATTTTGGAGATAAAGAAAAGTGTTTTTAACCTTAACATGAAAAAAAAAAAAAAAGAGAGAGAGACTTTATATACACAAACAAATTTTTTTCTAGTTCGCTAAAAAGACTTGTAATGTTTACTGAAAGTACTGACAAATTTCTTGAAGATACACAAACTATATTAAAAGTTAGTAGTATCAAAACTATAACGTCTAAAACTTGGTCGGTCAATTCGATTGAGCCCAACTAAAGAGTATTCAAGCGAAATTAGTTTCTAAATCACACTTTCAAAAGAGCAAAATAAATATAACAACGTACATCAAATTCCAATAATGCATCCAACTGATTCTGAATAGCAGGAACAGTCTTCAACAACTGGAAATAAAATAATAAATATTTGGTTATCAAACAAGTATCAAAATCCACAAAATCCAGTTCTAAACAGAGATGTTAGTTAGGAATTTTCAGATGTTTCTTGTAACTGCAAACAGAAAACAGCAAATTTATGTCAATGGCTAGAATGAATTTTACACACAATCAGGGATGAATTTCAGCCGATACACAGCAAATGATTTTTACAGTCAGTACCAAATTATGAATATCAGATGTGATACTATGTTATAATTTTTACAATAGTTAATATGAGACTAAATTATAAAACAGAAAAACTGTGTAGTTGGGTTGACTATGTGTACATATTCTCTTACTTGTATAGCAAGAATACCAAGCACCAGCAAGATAAAAAATACCATGATTACTAAATCTGAATAAAAGATATCATTACTAACAAAATTATGTAGTCACAAAGCATGATACTTATGAAGACAAGTAGTAACTAACTACTAACTATGTGTTAACCATCAAATATAATAGTGAAATGCACTGAATTACTAAATAACCTGATTTTATTCTATTAGTCCCTTAATATTATGTTTTTAGTCCACCTCATACTCAATGGTCAAAGTTCTGTTGTTTTTTTCACTTTCACAATTGAAGACGTATTGACAGTGTGCTCATCCTCTGGTTAAGAGCTGGTTTTCTTAACTTATTAAGTATCTTGAAAATGTAAAGAAAGAACAGAACATGAAAACTTGACTTAGATAAGAACTTCTACATGTATACTCCCTGTCACTGGTAAGTTTATAAATTTACAATGCTAAAATCCAGGAGATTTCTTGCAGTGGACAGTGCAGATAGTCCATTCTGTCGTTTTGCACTACAGGTTAAATATTTTGAATTAAATTCTGTAAAAGATAGCAATATGCACATTTTGACCCAGCCATACACATAGAATAAGTGACATTGTTTAGAACAGCATATGTTATGTTGAAATAGATTTTTCTAAAATTGGGAAACAAAGATCATTTATACATATTAAAACTGAACATTATAAATATAATGTTTGGGATGAATAGAAATGCAACTTATCTTCTTAAAATATAAAAATAATTGTCTCTTGGTGTAAAATAATTATATTCTTCTAAATTATCTTATACTTTACTGATTACTGACCCACTTTATTTATAAAGACTTCATTTCCTGGAAATGTGTCACTAAGGGTGTGAAGCACTCCTAACATATAATCTTCACCTGTGGCAGTGACATTAAACAATAAAGTTTTACATGGTTCTTTAACTTTCATCCTTACACAAAATAGACAACACTCTTAACTTTAAATTGCCTAGGTGTGTCAATTCAATACACCTGTTTTATGACTTGACAAAATAATTTGAAACATTGTTTTCCAGGGGTTGAATAGCTTCTGCAAATAAAATATTATTTCTACATGCAGTATGTAAATAATTCACAATTCTGAAAATTCAAAAATTTCATCATGATAAGTTTTAAGAATAAATTAAATGTGCTTACCTTTCTTACAGATTCTAATAACTGACTTTTACATCTTCCTATTTTTGTTTAAAACTTTCCTATAAAGTTCATTTTATAAGACTCAAGATTTTATTTTAATTTTCATTGTGTTTATAATCACCATCATACAATAAAAATAAACATTTTGTCATACCAAATTATAATCAAGCCAAATTTTTTATCTTAATTGGTAATCAGTATATATAAGCACAAAGCTACAGTATGGGCTATCTGTGTTGTGTACGAAAGGTATCGAAACCTAATTTATAGCATGATAAGTCTGTAGACTTACCACTGTGACTATCTTTTGATTGACATCACCATAAATATGATAAATATATTAAAAAATATCAACATACCATTTCTGCATTCATAGTCCTTAAGGTGCCATCTTCTTTTCTAGAAACAAAAGATAAGAATATAATCTTCTTTTTTTCAGTATTTCAGCCTCTGGAGCTATGATTTGCTTCCTCATGAAAATATTATTAGTTTTTTTTTTTTAGAGTAAGATGTTAGCCTGCAATAAAACTAGGATGTTTTAGCAACTGCTCCTATTTCTGAACAACTGGGTGATATGTGGTTTTCCATCACAACAACAACTTGGAAATCCGAATTATAGCAAGAAAGCAGAGCTTGCATAAGATTTCCTGATGCATGTACAATAAGTCATGAATGGGAGAGTGAAAAATTATGGGTGAGTGATGAATGCTTTACATTGCATCAAGGACTTTCAGAACATGGTTGACAGTATGAGAGCAAACTCAAGAAGGAAAGGCTTTCATTATTTCAGAAGTAAGTACCTGTTTTAAATTCTCTAATCATAAAAACATAAAATTCTGTCACTTGCTGTTAACGTGCTATATCTATGTTGAAGGCACAACTGCTAGGTTTTAAGATCTATAAAGGTCATAGTATGGATTTAATGTCAGTATCTGTAGACTTTTACTGTAGGGATTTAAGCCTTTTTTGAAAGTAACATAACATATCCTTCTTAAAAGATTTCAGAGGTAAATACCTGTTTGAAACTCATTTTAATCGTAGAAAAATTTTAAAAATCATATCAGTAGAATTATCTCAAATACTCTAAGCCAGAATAATCACAAATGAAAAATGGCAGGAAGCTAGGAAAATTAAGATTATTAGAACTGGTTTCAAGGGAAATGAGTGGAGGTATCAGTTTTATACAAAGACTGGTTTACAAATACTCAGAAAAAAACTTTATACTCACAAATGGGTCTTTCTGTACAAAAAAGGGATCAGTTAGGATGGTAATGTGTTTACCCATGGAGCCAACAAAAAAGCGTAGGTGATGGTGTAGACAAGTACGAGAAATACCGTGTCCCAGCTCCTGTAGTGAAAAGTTCTTGAAGAAACAGCTTAGTCAAAAATTATGAGTGAACATACTTTTTGGGCTTTAGCTCTACGTCATCCAAAGCTAAAAATTCCAGTGAGTCACAAATCTGGACAAATACATAAGCTCTCAGGAACTGAAGAAAGACCCAAACTATCTCAGAAATGAGGTTCAACATCTTGAGGACAGTGCAATGGGAAAATCAAAAATCAAACAGAAAACAATAACAAAATGGTAGTTGTTCTCCATCCTGGTTGAATCCAAGACACCTATTGTGAATTGGCATCCTGCTTCAGATAACTCTATTGTCCAAAAAGCACACAGATGTGGGAAATGTATCTGCTGAGGCATCATCAGCTACCAGATAACATCCTCTGTTCACATCCAGAAGTCATCATCCTGTATGGAACACCAGTACATAGGGTGTAAATATATGTAGGGCAAATGCAAAGGTTTATAAACATGCAAGAGTATGGACTGGATGGATCCATATAAATCCAGATTCTCCCTCAGGAAGGAAAGACTGTAAATTATTCATATCTGATTAGGACAAATGCAGGGGTAAATAAAACCTTTCAAAGTTCTGGCTGGAATAAGCTATATAAACATACCCTCCTAAGAAAGAAGATTTTTTTTTCTTTAATTGAAAAAATTAAGTAACATAATCTCAGCTCCAGACACTAATGTAGCTACTAACAGGGGTGTTGGGCAGAATAGAAATACCAGTGTCACCACATACACACAATACACGTGTGGGCCAAAGTAGTAATTAAGCATTTAATAGAGAACAATACACCTGCTATGGATTCCATCTGGCTTATAGAATAACAACTGGCAGCAAAAATCCTGAGGCTGAAAAGACAGTAAAGTTAGGTATGTAGAATTGAAGAAATGTATTTAGGTTTGTTAACATACCAGCTTGTAAGATGTCCTCTAATAGTTACCGAGACCCAGAAGCCAAAAACATTGTCAAACAGCAAATTTTATAAAGTGTAGCCTCAAATCCACTTTTAACATTGACAGGTACATCAAAGTAGAAAAGGATGATCAGCTGCAAAAGCATATTTGGTGTGAATGAAGTACGATGTCTGGAATGAGATTCATTATGAAATATAAACCTACTTCCAGATTCTCTGAAAGATCCCATCTGTGCAATATAGCAATAAACAGCCCAGGTAGGACACAGGAAACATTCTTCTGAATGAGAATGTAATATTATTGGTAAAAATTATGGCTACTTTCTCTTGCAGCTCAAGTCTTTGTCAGGGCCTTACTACCAGGATACAATTACAGAGCTTTCCTAGAAAGCAAATAATATAGAAAGCATAAATGTCAGATCTTCTCCTAACTGAAGCAAATAATGGATGAAAATGTCTTCAGTGAAGAAGGCATCATATGACATGACTTAAGCCTCACTGTGAATGGTACCTATGTACTGGGGGAAGAAAATAGCAAACAGCTTGAAAAAGGTCATTAAAAGGTTGAAATGACAGAGGAAACAACCTATGTGGTATTTAAAGATGATGGAGAGGGCAGCTCTGTAGACTGCAACAGAATAAACAGACAAGCCATGATCATGAAATAAGAACATAAAAGATGATGCCATCTGCTTAAGAGTCAGAGAAAAATAATTTAATAGAATTTCTAAAGGCACCATCTTCTAAAGATAAGCTAACAAGACTGGTATACAGGCAGGTATGAACATTTGAAAGAATGTGATAACATTCAAGGTATTTGAGAAGAGAATTCAGCTTCTCTAATAAAGGACTTCATGACAACCATTTGTTTGAGCCTGGTGTTGATGATGTTCCCAAAGTAGCAGCACAATAGGATCCCCTTAAGATAAATGACATATTAGGGGAAACCATGGTTGAGTTGGTCAATGTGAAGCAATGAGAAAAACTTAAGAATTTGATGAAATACTCTTGGCCAATACCCGAGGAAGAAGTTAGGTACACAGAAAAACCATTCTCCCAAGACTGATTCAAAGCATTCACTGCTAGAGAAGTGGAGTCTGCAAATGGGTACCAGTAAAGTAGATGATGGCTATCCACCATTGCAATTATAACAATCAGAGGATAATCAATCCATTGGTACAATCATTTAAACACTGAAGGTTCTGCACTGCAGGAAGCCAATGATCCCTAGAAAGAGAATATGCAAGAATGTTCATAACACTAAGCACATGACATACTCAAAGACATGCACAATACTAATGGAGATAAGTAAGAAGGAAGACCACAGCAAAACAAAAATTGTGGGATTGAGTTCCTTCCCGAGTGTTGAGATACACCACCATAGTAGAACTGTCCATATGATATAAATTACAGTGGTACTGTAACAAGGGTTAGGAACTCTTGACAAGCAAACTGAACTGCCCAAAATTCCAAAATACTGATATGAGAAACAGGTTCTTGAGGAGACCACAAGCCCAAAAGATGATGTTCCCTCAATAAAGCACCTCATATTTAGAGAGGTCATATCTGGATAAGGTGGAAGAAAAGGAGAACCTACAGTAGTAAATTCTCAACTGAGCCAAAGTTGATAGTAAATAATAAAGTGTAGTAGGAGAGGGGGAAGTTCCGAGAGATAACAGGCCTGAAGATAAATGCTACCAAGAGGCAAAAATTCATTGAAGGTGTCCCTTGTGAGCTCAACCCAAGGGAATCCCCTTGTAAACAGAAGACATCATATCCAAATCAGGGAGGATATCTTTAGCAGATACAGGAGAGAAGTATATGCTCCTGAGGTTTGGAGAATTGCAAAGTCAAAAGATATGGGTGAAGAGTTTCTTAAAATTTGTTTATCCATAATCCCAGATGCACCAGGTATCGAGTAAGTACAAGTTGAGACTTGTAGTCGTATACAATCCATTCCAGAGAAGAAACTAACTGTGTGATCAAATAAGAGTGAATCAACAACTGAAGTGACAAGTGAATGAGAATAAGCTAATCATCCATGTAGTGCTAAAAACAAATATTTGCATGGTTTAGAATGTCAACAACTGTTTTGCTATAAATACAAAGACATAAGAAGCTGAAGCCAGAATGAAAAGGAAAGTCATAGGCTGATTAACCATTCTGAAATGAAAAAAGCAAATAAAATGTTAAGATGGATGAGTCACAACATGTAGATAAGTATCCTTGATATCCACTTTCATCATCCAAAAAAACCACAAAGTAACTTCCATAAAATCCTCATTCTTTATCTTGAAATGAAAAAGATAATGATTAAGACACGAAAGATTTACTACCAGTTTCCAATCTCCTGGTTTTTTTGGTATTACAAACAAACAAGAATAAAAGCCTGTTGAAGAGCAGTGACCTGCTTTAACATACACTTTTAAAATAAAAACTTTCAAAACTTCTTTATACAAAATTTCAACACAAATTGAATCAAAAGGAAAAGAAGCTTGAAAAGCCAGAAGTTGAGAAGAAGGATGAAACTGAATAATAAAAAAAAATAAATCTAAATTAAAGAATATAATGAACACACAGTTGAACAAAAGATCCTAGATGGTTCCTCAAAGACAGAGTGGAGGGGCTGCTCAGGAAAAAAGTAATTTTCTAAGTTGAGAATGTCCACCTCACTTGCTTCTATATTATGTAACTTGAAAGAAGCAAAAGTAATAAGAAGCAAAATTAGAGTGTTGAGAAATAAAATAGAAAAAAAGAGAGAGTAATGCAGAAAGACAGCTATTACTAACTGGAATACTAAAAGCAGAAGAGCAACCAAATGTAATGTTCAAAGTCAGAGCCCTAATCGACTCTTGCTGCCGAGATTCTCCTGATTGAGAAATCAACTCATGATACCACTGGAAAAACAAGAGAATACAAGAAAGAGGCCATTTGGAGATTCAAAAATAGTGGGATGTAGGTATGGAGTGGGAAGCAAATAGTTCAACAAGCTAAAATATCAAGAGAATAATCTAGCCATGTGGTAACCTAAACTAAGTCAGTAAGTTTGTTTGTTTGTTTTGAATTTTGCACAAGCTACACGAGCGCTATCTGAGTCTACGTCGTACCTTAGTTAGTCTAGAGTTAGAGTAGGAGGAGAGGACTAGTCTACTCCCTACCCGACCGTCCTACCTACTTTACTACTAACCAAACG